AAAAGGAGGTCATTCCCAACGATCCTACTCCTATCAGAGTCCTTACCTCGGACGACTGGGTCAGTCGGTTGAAGGAGCGGGGAAGAGACGAATATTTGCCATAGGAAACTGGCTGAATCAGAGGTTATTAAACTCTGTTCATAGATGGCTGATGGATGTTATCCGTCAGATTACTATGGGTGGCATGCATGGATGTCTTTTCTGCCTTAGCCATTCTCCCTACGTAGCAACTTTAAGTAGATGATAGATGGGATGAGATGCTAGCCTTAGCGCAGAAGATTCATCATGGAGCCTTAGGTTAGGCTACTACTAAAGATAGGATGGATTGTCAGGAATGGTAGATGGAGCAAGGAAAAGCATCCAACCAATCCTGTTAGGCTGTTTTGGAAAGCCAGCGGCAAGGAAGGAAAGGAAGCGAAGTAAGCATCCAATCCTGATCTTTTCACTTTCGAGATCGAAGAATCATAGCTATCAGTGCATTAGCAAAGCAGACCCAGAAAGGGAGAGTTCTTCTTTTGCAAGAATGGGCATTACCGCAGCTTTGACTCTGTTGTAGGTATGAAGTGCCATGAAAAATGGAAATGGCTATCAGTTCTGACTCTCCTGACCCGAGGTAAGTAGTTCGGCTAAGCCGGAAGAAATAAATGTGAGAGTTTAGCCTATTAATTCACTTGACTTTAGGGAAGCCGGTTAAATGCTTTGCTTTGTGAGGGAAAAGCGGGCACAGCTCACGCACGGCACAAGAGGCAAGGAACTTTCAACAGGCATGGACGGCCTCCTTTTGAGGGTGAATGTCGGAAATCGTCTTCCCTTTGATGGACATTAAAAAGGATCCGCTAGGCTGTCTTACATGTCCCCAAAAGCTAAAGGGCTCCTTTCCTTCTTGATATCGCTGATGCGCCTTTAAGAGTTCTCGTTCTACTTCCTGTTAGCTGGTAGAGTATGAACTACGACCGATGGGATTGGTACAACCACGAATCTTTTGTTTGCTTTGTTTACAGCCGGCCTTACTTAAATAGGAGTTTATGCTTCTAGCTAGCTTGCTTTGGGCATCGGGAAAGAAAAGATAAGGCAATTTAGTTCTCATCCGCCCTTGCCTGCGAGCCTAGGAGCAGCTTCACCTTGCGTCTGCTAACCGCTGCTAAAAAGCCAGTGACCGGTAATCCGATGCTACCACCAGACTAGCTGGTATACTAGAGAATTAAGTTCACTGAACCCGCTGCCAAAGAAAAGTAAGCCTAAACCTCTCAACCCCCCGAGTCCGGGGCAAAGGTTACGTTCCCTAGGTTCCCCTCTTTCCCCCTGACTTCATGTTTTTCTGTCTTCTTTTGTGGATTCCAACTGAATTGTCATCTTTCCCGCCTTCCGCGCGGTTTCTTGGCTCAAGATATTATGATTCCCCTAGTAGTCTGACTGCTCTTTCTCTCAAGCGAAGTGCTTCTCGGGACAAAGGGCAGAAGGGAAGGTAGCTCGTGATTATCGTCTCGGTCTTCTCGAAAGGTAGTTGAGTTCCTTCGGGTGAGAAATAATAGGAATTGATCTAGCTATAGATATAGATAGAGTGTCAGATGAAAGGTTTCGCCCCTGACTCCTTGACTTATTGATGTCGCTGATCCGCCGTTATCGTATCAGGAAATGTGGGGTCGGGCCGCTCTTTCTGACATAGGAACTTACTCAAAATCTAAAGTCCGCCTAAGGGAGAGAGAAGACTATAAACAATAAATCTAGGAGGTTTGAAGATGCTCGAGCAAAGAGAAGAGGTTTTACCTAGCATTAGAAACTTAATCCATTGTTGCTTGTTGCTTGTTATCCCTTGCTTTTAGTTAGGTATAACTCCTCTGTTATCTCCTTGTTCTAACCATGTTGCTTCCTTTGCTTCGCCTGGAACTACCTTGCTAACACCTTCTTACAGTCTTGCTGAGCTTAGGAAGTGAAGTTGTAGGGATGAAAAGCCTATATTTAACTTATAAACAAAGGCTGAAAGCTGGTGTTTGCCAGTCACAAGAGAGCATTAGTGCTTCCCGTTAGTCTTACGATGAGGAGAAGCACGTAATGGGAACGATATTGGAGCTTAAGGTTGGTACATTGCACGCATTAAAACCTTAACTCTTATAACCTTTCTTTCCTTGTTATCCCTTGCTTTTAGCTCGGTATAACCCCTCTTCCTCTTGCATTTGCTTGTAATTCCTTGTTTCCCTCGTTCTTGTTTCTATCGTAGGTTCGGTAGTAGGTTCCAGCTTGCACATGCAGGATCCCCCCTTCGTCTTTCTTTTCTCCCGGCTATAGCGCGAGAGAAACGCGAACAGCTGATTCTCAAGCAGGGGATTCGTCGAAAACAACCTATCTGTCTACTTGCTTTCAGTTCTGTTCCCGTCTCGATCTTAGCTTAAAGCTCTCAACCTATTCTTGCGCAAACCAAGTTCACTGCCTTAATTTAGGAGTGAAATAACCCGCTATGAGTAGAAGGGACTTTGCCGGGTATTCCTTCTTCTTGATAGCGCAGGGGCACAGCGGTAAATACCGAGGAAAGAAGATAATTAAATTTTATCCCACGCCACGGTAGATAGTGTTCTGTGGGGGAAGGAAGCCAGGCATAGGCGTATCCGCCTTGGAAGTTTGAATGCCCTAAGATGGTCCTTCGACAAGCCCGCCCTTTGCTAAAGCTTCTATGGATTGCACCTTTAGAAAGGAAATCAGCATTTAGGAAAATTTTCCCAACCAAGGAAAAATGGCACATTTCGATGTCTCGTAGGAAAGGAAATCCGATCTATGAAAAAATTACCTAAAGAAAAGTGTCGATTTAACTTTTTAGGAGTAAGTAAAAAAGGTCCCTCGAATGGAATAATAGCTTTTCCGGAGGAAGTAACTTATTATATTATAATAGTTGATAGTTTATGTAAGAGAAGAAGTTCTTGGTTTGGTTGAATTCAATCAAAAAAAGTACCATTTTCAATTGAATCCTGAATCCCTTATTCTATAAATTTACTAAGAGAAGAAATCACGTAAGTGATAGAAAGAATCGTTCAGTAGGCTAATCTTGAAAGGTTTCCATTTTCGGTTGAGAAAGCGGCAGGCCCAAAGAGCTCTCCAATAAGTGCACCGAAAGGGGGCCGGAGAGACGGTCAACCTGAGATCGGCTAAGATCGAAAAGCACTTGGTTTACAGCCAAGCAACGACAAAGAAAAAAGAGTCCCATGTCTTTCTTGATTGGTAAACCCAACCAGCGATTTACAACAAACAAGTCTTTCCTCTTGTTGGGGGGAGCAGTTAAAAAATGAACCAAAGCAAATGAAATTAGAATGGCTATTCCTCACGATTGCTCCTTGTGATGCAGCGGAACCATGGCAATTAGGATTTCAAGACGCAGCAACACCTATGATGCAAGGAATAATAGACTTACATCACGATATCTTTTTCTTCCTCATTCTTATTTTGGTTTTCGTATCACGGATCTTGGTTCGCGCTTTATGGCATTTCCACTATCAAAAAAATCCAATCCCGCAAAGGATTGTTCATGGAACTACTATCGAGATTCTTCGGACCATATTTCCTAGTATCATCCCGATGTTCATTGCTATACCATCATTTGCTCTGTTATACTCAATGGACGAGGTAGTAGTAGATCCAGCCATGACTATCAAAGCTATTGGACATCAATGGTATCGGACTTATGAGTATTCAGACTATAACAGTTCCGATGAACAGTCACTCACTTTTGACAGTTATACGATTCCAGAAGATGATCTAGAATTGGGTCAATCACGTTTATTAGAAGTGGACAATAGAGTGGTTGTACCAGCCAAAACTCATCTACGTATTATTGTAACACCTGCTGATGTACCTCATAGTTGGGCTGTACCTTCCTTAGGTGTCAAATGTGATGTTGTACCTGGTCGTTTAAATCAGATATCTATTTCGGTACAACGAGAAGGGGTTTACTATGGTCAGTGCAGTGAGATTTGTGGAACTAATCATGCCTTTACGCCTATCGTCGTAGAAGCTGTTCCTAGTAAAGATTATGGTTCTCGGGTATCCAATCAATTAATCCCACAAACAGGGGAAGCTTAAGCGGAAATGAAAGAGTAGGGTGAGGGATAAGGGGGGAAGCCACTAAATGGAAGGCTTCGCTCGCTCTAACGCTCGTTTAGTAGACAGCGAGTGGAGTGCATAAGCCCCTTTAGAGATAGGGGCGAGTACTACACGAGCTCGTAAGTCAAGTACGGAACGAGCGAAGGAGAGCGACCTCATCTTGCTTCTGGCGAAGCTTCTAGAAGGCCCACCACTTCATAGGAGCGCTAGCGAAGCCGTATAAAGGCAAACAGCTCGTATAGCTCGCAATAGCGAGCCTACTTATCGCTTTTTTTGTTTACTTTACCGCGCAAGGAAAGTCAAGAATATCATCAGTAAGAGTGGTTGCTATTGACTTCTCGAGTATGCAAGGCCTTTTTTCGTCTTTTTCGGCCTGTTGGTACTTGTCGAATTGAAACTAGAGAATCAGAAGATTCGCCAACATTACCTATTTTTTAAGTGGATTCGGGGCCGGTGTAAGTACGTGATTTCAAATAGCATGTTAAAAGCATATGATCCTCCTTTGACTGTTTAAGTACCATCTCCGCCTTTGCTATCTATGCTTCCTGGTCGCTAGACTCATTCTTCTTCTTCTACTTTACTTCCAGCTACTCTGCTCTGAGCTTAAGAAAGGTTAAAAAGGTTGCCGGTATGTTATTTTTGTAGTTTTGAATTCCAGAACTGGTCAATTCCCCTTCCCCTTTCGGGAACTATCTTCTCTAGGGATTCCTATTCTATTTCTATTTACTCTTCGTCGTCTACAAAACTTAAAGTTTTGGTAACTAACTTACAGATTGTATCTTAAATAAAATAAACATCCTTTAAGCGGAATGGGGGGCAGACGACGAAGCAACATCGATAACAATGAAATCTGAGTCTGTGGTGGCAGACCCTTTCCAGGCCCCTACAATCAAGCAACCTCACCAATGTGAATGAAAGAAAGGGCACCACATACATCTCGACTAGTTCGTGCCTGCGGAGCGAACAAAAACCTCTTTTTAATTCTGATTCCGACTCCGAAGTCCGGATATTTGGTTGCTTTGTACTTGACCCATGTGATGTGGTTCGGCTTGTTGCGCCACCTCACTTAACCAAACATATCCGATAATAATAAGTTATACCAGATCTACAGCACTTGCTGCTTCATGCCCGGTTGCATCTGACTCTGCTGGTTCACCTTCTAAACAGGTCTCCGCACCTGAGACACATCCTTCTCCTGTTGCTTATTCTTTTTCCTATATTATGGTGGCTTATTCAGCGAGCTGGAGCTCCTACTGTTCCCGCGCCAGCTTCCACTCTAGCTCCCTTCGGCCTCGAAGATCATCAGGTTCCATCCAACTAACTCTAGTTTCTATGTTAATTGGTTTTGTACTTCTGCATGTTGGGAATAAAAATAGAATAAGATTTTATACTTTACTTTTTAAGTGATCAACTAGGTTTTTAATCCCTCGCTTACACTATATTGGGCTAGGTTAAGTTGGAGGTCGTACATTTCACCAGACTGTGGGACAGACACGTCCAAAAATCCGTTCTCCCCCCTTCTGGTTATAATAGACCCAGAACCCCTGCATACCTTTTTTCTACCATAAGGCCTCCCTGGCTTCTTATTTAGGTTCTATCTTTTGTAGATTCTGGTCTGGAAAGTACCCTTGCCCTGCCTGATGCTGTAGCAGCTTATACGGATGCGTTGTATCCTTACTTGTAGCCGGCTCTGTTACTCCTGGGATTTTATCAAAATAGATATAGTGGAGGACAGGTTTGAGTACGAGGAGTTCCATACAATAAAAGGATTTCTCTATAATAAGAGTGATCCATGGCCTTGAGCCTAGAGTCATAGAAGAATTCCTTGATGCTTCCCATAGGGATAGGAAAGAGTCAAGTGGCCGGTTAAGCAGCTAGTCCTAATCTAGGCACATACGCCGGTTAGAGCAGTGCCTTTTCAAAGCTTAGCTTCTTAGATTCTCTTACTAATAGAAAACAATCTTTCTTTCGGGAAAGTCTTCTGCGCTCTATTAGGCTGTGGGGCCCAGATCTTCTTGAATAAACTAAAGTTTGCCCCTTGGAATGAAGCCTCTTAGGCTGTCTACCTTTGATTCAAGAGTCTCACCTTGGCGATCTACTGAGAAGGTCGTATCCATGGTCTCGACTCGCTCATACCCGGCCCACCTCTCTGAGGGGGACTTCCTTGCTATGCCACCATCCTATTAGCTTAGCTGGTAGTTAATCTATTTACTAGTCTGATGCACACTTGGAAGGCTCTCCTTTATCTTACCAGTCGTGCAGCACAATACACGCGTTTAGGTCATAATTCTTATCTCAGGCTGAGAATTGGGCTTATAATGCCTTTGTTTTATGGACCTCGGGACCTTGAATTTCCAACTTCGGCCTATCATCTTATGTTTTTAGTTTAAAAAAAATAAAAGGTTCGCGCCCTAGAGTGCATCCACGTCTTAGCCTTAACGGATGAGGCCTGCTATGACAAGGGATAGATAGGCACTACCTCTAACAAGGTAGTCCTATGGCGATATAATGCCTTCTGGATACGACTCAAGAATAAACCATTATCTATCTTCCTAGTCCCTTTGTCTGAGCACAGGTGACTCTCTTAGTGTTAGTACTTGTTCAGTTAAGATGTACATAGTCTTTAGGGTACGGTCATTACGCAGCAATATATCTTCCCCACTGGGCGCGTATGGTAAGATGAGATACATCCTCCGGGCCTAAGTCGATCCTGACTTTCTTCGATCTGGATTCAGAGGCTTCATCTAAGTAGAGTGAAAGATGATCCTGCCCTCCTCTTACTCTTTGTTAAAGCTATTTCCTCGTCTGGGAAGCAATCCTTTTGCTTTTTATTTTAATTATCTTTAATTTAACCAAGTTAAATGTTAGCAATATATATTAGTATACATTTTTCTGTTTCGATGCAAAGTAGTTTTTTTGGTTGGTTAATTGGTCACTTCCTGAAACGGCTTGGATTGGCATTCTATTAGCTCTAGTTATCCTTTCGGTAAACTACACTCTAGTACTAGACTTTGTGCGTATTACACTCGTTCGGTAGCTATTCACACCCCTAAACAAACTCTAACTCAGGGAAGAAGAACAAGTCTTAAAAAACTACATATGCGATAACCCGCTTAACTTCTACCTTCTCCAACTCTGCTTGTTCCCTAGTGGTCGCTACAGCCGAGGATAGCTAGAACTAATGAACTAAGTTAACTCATCAGAATAACCGCCCCTCCTAGCCCGATAGCGCTTTAGGAAAGTCTTATGAAAGATAGAGTCCACTTCTAGGTCTTTGATCTCACCCAATCCTGTATGCTACGCTAGTTTGAAGAGTCTTCTTCCCTTTCTTTAACTTTAAGAACTCATAACTAATAAATTACTAAGAATATAAACAACTGTTCCAACTCACGAACTCAAGAAAGAAGTGAGAGGATCCTTATGTTTCCAGTCCCCCTACTCATATCGGAATGGAAGACTATGGGTCACGAAGAAAAAGAGTGTCTTTATTTTTATCGTGTTATAGCCCAATTCAAATAAGAAATTAATATGAGTCTAATAGAATCTATTTCAAGCAGCTAAAAAGGAAAGACTTTTTTTTTATTACCTCAGCCAATGGTTTAGCTGGGGAGCTTCTCTGCTGACGTACCTCCTTCCTCCTGTTCGACGATTAACTCTTCCAGGCCTTGCTTGCCTCGTGCGAGAAAAGAGGGAAAGTGCTAACATGCTAACACCGGTAACGGGTGTTGCCGCATCTGAGACCGGAAAAGCTGCTATTTGTCCAATTCTGCCTTCTCTCTTTCCTGTATACTTATTGTACTATTGATCATGTCCGCTCTCTTCCTTTGATCTCTTTTCTATGCTAGGATACCATCTAGATTATGTATGAAATTGATAGTTAGAGGAAAAGATAACTCCTAAATGCAGCCGGGATCTTATATACGATACCACCACACCAATGATAGAAGGAGCAGATACGAGTACTCAAGCAGCTAAAGCAGTGTGGTTCCAGGTGCATTTCCAGTTTTGATAGTTGTTGTCCGAGCTCTTGTCCTTCCTCTATGATTCAAGACAAAGACTATAGGCTAGAGTGGCTTTCCTATTGCAATTAGTAACTGATCTGCTCTCGTCTTTTCTCTTGAAGAGCCCTCCCTTCTCGTATTAGCCACCGACCCCGAAAGGCCCAAAGAAGGGGAGCAAGTTTTGGTCAATCTCTCGGGCAAGGAAGAGATGCGCCGGGTCTTTCTCTTTGAATGGCGGGATGCTAACTCGATTCGCCCTTGCCTCTACGGGATCAACTACTACTTATATAAAGAAAAAGCACCAAAGGTAAGTTGTTCCCAGTAGAAAGATAAAAGCTATTCTTCTTAGCAGTTAAACAAGTGAATGGAATGATTTTCCCCCGGGGGTGACTGAACTACCCGGATCCTCATCTCTTGAACTCGTTCTGGCAGCTAGTTTAATGGCACCGGCATCTCATCTAGTCTAGATCGATTCCCTAAGAGCTTCTTCTCTAGCAGGCGATTTGGCCAATTTTTTCTTTCCTGGTAATAAGGCAAGGCCTTTCCCTATCACGCTTTATTGACTAGCTTCCTTTCTTCGGCATTCATTCGTCTCAAAAGAAAGAGCTAGCGAACCTTACCAATTCAATTCCAATTATCTAAGACAGAGCAGGATAGCTGCCATCAAGCAGCCCCTTTAGAGCGAGGGCCTTTCGAGACCCATGCTATCAAGAAGAAGAGCCTTGAGCTAAATCATTGACCTTGCGCCTGCTTTGATTAGGACATTGCCGCATCTCATCTGGGGATCTAACTCTTTCCGGCTTAGCCGAACTTATCACCTGGAGTGACTGAAGGATATTATGATTCAAGCTCTGAACCAAAGCTAATTATTTTATCTTCTCTATTATTGTACCCTCATCGGCATCTCCTTACGCAGATTCAACAGCAGCTGGGTCGTGAGAGCTGAAAGACGTTCAAGCTCAAAGCTACAGGTTCTGTCATACTCGATTTTATTTCTTTCTACTCTAGAGTGACTGGCTTTCCTTTCGAGCAGACTAAGAAGAAGCCCACGTAGCGGTAGCAGCTACGACTTCTTCCTTCTGGGCTTACTTGCCAAGTACAATAGCAACGGATTATGTACCAGCAAACTAGATTTAACCGGGTGTTCCCTCTCCGTTCTAGCTTTCTAAATAAGTCAGATCGGTGCCCTTTATCCGGGAAGACTCCTAAATCAGTTAACTGGGTATGAGAAGGCCTCCCTTCTAGTCTATAGTAGCCCTTCTTCCTTTCGTTTGTGCATCTTTCTCTTTATCCCTTTCTGTTTGTTGGTCAACAACCACAAGTCAATAGAATGAATTCTGAACTATAAAGGAGAAGTGAACCGTTCAGGCAAGCGAAGCGGTTTGCTTTCTCTAGAAAGACTCTGCAGGGGAATTCGCCCTTTCTTTAGTGGATTGGCTCACTACTGACTTACTATCTAGTTACTAGAAAGATTAAGGTGCCGTACTGGTTGGTTTTCCCAGGACTGAGACCGACAGACTGCTTTCAACCGCTTTTCTAGGGGTGGAATGAACCTTTACTGCACTGCTAGCGTTTTAGAGCTTGAAATAACTAGCACTCATACGGATTGGACTTAAACCAACCGTGCTACTAGGCTTAAAAGAAAAGCTTGAACTCTCCCCCCCGAACCGCCCTATTACACCTAGGCTCATATGCTCTTCAAAAGGAAAATAGGTTTACTTTCTTTCATTTTGGTTATGGAAAGTTAAAGTAGTCAAGTTGACTCTAATCGCGTACGCCGAGCTTCGATGGATTGTTGTGTTAAGTCTCTTTTGTGAGATAACAGAGACAAGGAACCACAGCCCCTTCGGGTAGGGCATAGGTGGCTACGGCGGAAAAACCCTGGATCTACAAGACTTACTTCACGCTCTCTAGAAGCTCACTGCAGAGGAAGGTAAAGTGATTCTTCCTATAAAATCAAATCAAAGAAAATAAAGATATTGTTCACCGAAAGATAGGCAATTTATTGACTTAAAGAGCAGAAGGGAATACTGAACCACGCCTCGAGTCCCAGTCTCCTAGTGGTGGGATGGTAAAGGGCAATGTCCGGTTCTGGCCAAGAGATGTCTTTGCTCTGTCCCCCTTCTTGTTGGTTGGCACAAGCCCTTGTAGTAGTCAGCCTTTCCTCCCCGACGGTCTACACCAGGTATGAACTCGATTTAAACGGGGATCAGAGCAAAAAAGGCCCTTTTCCTTTTCTACTATGCTTTGAGCCGCTTCCAGGAATGGTAAGACTTGCCTTTGCCCTTACTCTATTAATAAGGAAATTCCCTGGTGTTCACTCTAGTTCCTAACTCATTTACGCTGTAGGCATAGAGCTATGGGAATGCTTTCATAGGCTAGGGGGGGATAACTCTTAATTAAGTAACTAAGCCCCAAGGCTAGCGAAGGAAAAGGAAGTTACATTAGGGCTACAACTCCTGACTCGAGGGTGAGAATTTGAATCGAATAGATTGAATCAGAAATGCACTGAGAGAGAGGCAGAATAACCGGAAGCCGGAAGAAGGGCTTTAGTTAGGCAGCGAATCTTCATTGAAGTGATGTTAGCTAGGTCCTTTCCTCGAGCCAGTCTTGAAGCAGGCAGGAAGTCTTTTACCAAGATACTCGCTTGAAAATGACGTAGAGAGAGTGTTCGAGAACGTCTCTGTGCGGTTTATCGGTTCCAAGTAGCGATGAAAGTAAAACCACTAGCACAGCGTGCAAACGTTGTTGCCATGTTTGATAGTTTGGCAAACTAGCTCCTGAGACCATAGAAGGGAGTCTTTGGTTGTGAACGTGATCGGGACCAGGCTAGTTGGCTCAGCAACATAGTTGTTTGGTAACAGGCAAGCACAAGGTAGTGGGGGGGATTAGAAAGCTCCTCTTATCTTTGAGATCATACGGGCGGACACTTGGTGCTGGTATAAAAAGGGCATATTCGAGTGCCCCGCCGCCAGCATCGCTCTTCTCTTCGAACAGAAGCAACTCTGTAGGGAGGAGAGCCTGCCGATCGAGCGAAGGGATCCATACGGCTTTCAGGGGGAGCTGCTTTTACAGCCTACTGGTATTTAAGTAACGGACGTGTTGAATGAATTTTCATGATGATTCATTCAATTCGTTCGCCGGGAAGTGCAAGCTTTGTGAACCAAAAAAGCCTGCCGATGAAACCCGTTCCCTCGTGCTTCCATTAATGACAGATACATCAGTAGAGGTCGGCCAAGCATGATCAAGGCAGGTGAGCCCTTCCCGCTAACCAAAGGCAGAAATTGAGAGATACTTGGACCCGAAAGGACTGGACCCGTGGAAACAAAGTGATAATTCCCGCTCCGACCCGGGTAGACAACACCTGAGTTAACACTACGCAACCGAACTTAGAATGGGCCAGAACACCCCTATTGGGCGACAAAGTGGACCTTTACCCGAAGCGTAAAGCTGATTCTATGACGCTTCCAAGCCCACAAAGGCGAACGAAATAACGTATATAGATAGATATAGCTACTGAAGCAACTGTACAAAAACTTGTCCGGTGATCCGACGGTGCCGAGTAGAAGGGCTCTCGCCCAACGGAAATTATTTAGGTGTTCCGTGAGAGGGGCCCTGGATGGAATTGGGTTCGAGTCCCATAGCCCCAATGTGTCGAAATATCATGATTGGGTCGACCAGACCAGGCCCGGATCTTTTTTCTTTTTTTCCGGTATGCCGCTCCGCGAGAATGGAGCGAAAGAACCAAGTGGTTTGTGGTAATGTCAGAATTTGCACCTATTTGTATCTATTTAGTGATCAGTCTGCTAGTTTCTTTGATCTTACTCGGTCTTCCTCGACTGTTCCACCTTTTCTATTCATTCCTAATAATTATTCCTTTACTTGGTGTGTTCTATTCTCTTTGTATGAAACTCGGCTCGATAGATTTATTTAATTCTCTACTATTTAAAATAGGGTTATCTCTTGGTAGTCGAGTCCTATCCTATGCTTTCTTCAAATTAGGCCTCGCGGGGGGGCTTGCCTGGGTTTTGTTAAACGTTTTGCGGGCACTATTCAGTGCCGATGGGGGGGTCTCCATCGGGAATGGCATGATGCCTCACGGAGCTGCCGAATCCACCAATTCGGATTTGTTTACTTATACAAGCGATTTGGTGGAGGATTCGGGCAGTTCCGGGCGTAGTAGAAGTACCTCAACGGTCAATCAACCACTTCCGGGGGAACAAGCTATGCCTCCCGCTCTTCCTGTTATGCAGGAAGCTGCTAATCAAGCAGCCCCTGTCCCCTATCCCTACCCCCACGATGAAAGTCCTAACATGGGGGCATAGCGTTTTGACTATATCCTTCCTTACTTGTCGGCGTAACGACAGCTAATGATTTAATACCTAGCTTATTGATGAATTCGGCGTAAGAAGTTAATACTTCCACTTATTCCCTAGAATAGAAGACATGGAGGCCTTACAACTTTTCAGGATCTATTACCTGCATGACAGGAATATTAAATAGACATGAAATCAACGGGAAGCCTATTCCTACCCTAGTTTATTGGCTCTTAGGTCGGTGAAACTGTCCCTATAGCTAAAGTCAAGCCAGGAGTTCGCGTTTTAGTTTGAGTTCAGGACAGGAAAGTATGGGACCTAATTAAATGGAGTACTTGCGCCCACTCTCGACGCCTACTTTATTAAACGAAGGACAGGGCAGGCATACTCTTCGACAGACAGAAGGAAGGATTGGACTGGTGCTATAGCTTTCCCTTTTTCCAGCCATGTAGGTTTTCTTGAAGCACAAGCCATTCTAAGAGCGCCATTCAAGCCTTAGCCTGAAAAAGGCTAAAGACTGTTGGGAGAGTCCTGGGCGGTCCGGCGACCATTGCCCCTTTTCTTTTGGATGTAGCTATTTCCTTACATATAGAGGAATCGAGGAGATTCGTATACGCCCAGAAGCTCGCAAGACCCACGGCGCCTTGCTACAATAACGAGTGGCTAGTTCGTTCGATATCTAGGGGATACCCGTCTACTTCGCTTCACCAAGCAGACCCCACGTACTTTAATTGTCCGTCTGCTACTACGAACCCGACCCATAGGCCCATACCTTTCTCGACCGAAGCCATAAGTAGTAGTTTAACGCTTGATCGAAGCGGCAGTTACCAGGCCCGGCCCAACTATCCCAGGGCAGAAGGACGCAAAAAGCCCAATGTTACAGGGGCTTGGGATGCCTCACCAGGATGAGGCGGTAGCACTTGGCGTGAGTGCGCTAATAAACCAACCCATTTGATAAGAAACCCTATCGAGTGTACGCTTTCGGTTAAGTGAAGGGATAGACCGAACCAGCTCACTAACGAAATTTAAGATCGGGGAATGTTACCCGAAGCATATCTCGTTGGATGGATGTCGTTGCCGCGAAGTTAGCTTTTATGGGACTTTCACAAAGCGGACTACTATCAGTAGTATATGCCTTCCCTGGGAAAAGCGGTAGAACATCCTGATCTCAAAGGAGAGCCTTGCTTTTTCTGTGTTGAGTCTATAAGTAAAGAGGGGGTGCCCAGTACACTTGAGATGCGTCCCAAGGTCGCCAATAACCAGTACTACAACTGAAAGCCAGGGTATCTTACCCTAAAAGGCAGAGTTGGAAGACTTTCTTGGTTCAAATCCAATAGTAGCTAGAACCAGTGAAAGGGTAGTTCACCAGACCCGCTCACGATAATGCAAATGAAACGGCAGATAAGCCTATTACTGGTTACGGTGATAAGATCCTAACAAACGGCCGGCCGGTTTACATTTACAACAGAAAAAGAAAAGATAAGGCAATTAAGGGATGAAAGATAGCGGCAGACTAAGGAGTAAAGACTGACTCTTTCTCTTCTATTCTATGGAACACATTTTAAGACTGACTGACCTACTAGAGGGAATAATTACTCCTATTGACCGAAGGCTAAAGGACTCCTATTCTTTTTTCACAATCGCCGATCAGATGTTAGGAATCGATTGCAGCGAGAAGCCTCTCTTGGCCAAGAAGCAAGAGTTCCGGTGCGGGAGTAAGATTCTTATCCAATCTGTCTATTAGTGGAATCCCCTAAAATAAATCTTAATCTCGTGTAAATGAAGGGAAATTTGATGGCTTAAAGGAGCTTTTAAGCCACTCTTCTAATTCCTCTTGGGTTATTTCCGATCGGGTCTTGCCAGGGGTTGGTGCATTGATGCCGAGAATACGCTGTTTGAAAGGTAACTTGATCTAGATGCGGAGTCTAGTTTGCACTTTATGGTACAACTTTTTATCCTTTAAATAAGAGGAGGTGGTCAAGACCTTAGGCAGCTCGACGCATCTAGTTTCGGTCTTGCTAACGGGCGACAAAAGGATGTTGGCCTTCCCATTTGAAGCGGAGAAGGGGACCCCACAGAGATCTACCTGGCCTCGCCAGCCAGTCTACTGATTGTCCATATAAAGTATTCTGCAAGCTTCTGGGGTAGGTCGCCTCTTATTTCATCATATATATATAATGGAATATATAGTTGGGGGTTGATCGCTAGTCTTTTAATCCACAAAAACCTCCTAAATACCTACCTTGGCATCTTTAATTGAAAAATGCGTATGGTAAGTAAGAATAAGAATGAACGGAAGGATGAGTCGATTAGATTAAGAGGAAGGAGGAGTAGGCATCGACCTAGTTAGTCGTTCTGAGTGAAGCTGAGGAGGTTCTTGGACTAGTTTCTCATGTATATAAATAATAAGGCTCCTTCTTTCTAGAAAGGGTAGTTTTTCCTGCCTATCTGTTCCTATGTGTGAAAACGAGTATGTGAACAGAACATCTTTCAAACATCGAGATTGGGTTGGCGGTCAGTAAGGAAAGCCGGGTGTGGCGATCCGATCAACGAAAATAAATCCTGAAATTACATATATAATGATAGAAAGAATCGTTCAGTAGGCTAATCTTGACAGTTTCCATTTTCGATTGAGAAAGCGGCAGGCCCAAAGAGCTCTACAGTAGTGCCTCCTTGCTTGGTCTCAACAATTTGGCTTTGACACGGGAACGAAGACTTTCTAGAACAAATATTAAACCTTCACTCTTTTCCAAGATAGTACGAATGAAGTTATTAGTGCTACCTAGCCCCGTCTAGATGGAGAATCTCTTATATGATATAAGTTGTCGCTTCGCTCGAGTGACTACGTACCTGCCCCTTCGACATAGATGATTGGACTGTCTTTCTTTGGCCTATAAGAATGGCACTTGCCTTTTCTTGGTCGGTTCGAATCCGGCCCAGTCCTAGGTACGCACGTAACAGACGTTCGTATGAACTAGAACCTTTCTTTTGATCAATAGAACAGGAAGAGGAGTCAGCCAAAAAGAAAGAAAACAAAAAGTAATGACCACCAAGATAATGCATATATTATTTAATATATGGCCCATTTTTTCATATAATTGTTGTTTTTATCTTTCATATCCTTTTTATCTGTAAGTCTGGCTCTTGGTAATATTTTTATCTTAAAAGCAGTATTCGCGTACAATTCCGCTTTAGGGCTGCCAGTTGAATTCCGGGCTTCCTGGAATAAAATTTTTGTGAAGGGACTGTATCCCGGTAACTAGGCCCCCCCACAAACGGTTCCCGACATATCTGAAACTCTATTATTAAAACAAATCGCGGAGAACTCTTATATCGTTTTATTTCTTACTTTTTTTATAATATTCCTTCTGAGTTGTTCCGTTGTTTTTTTTAGTCAGACTTCTAGAACTAGAATAAATCTGACTAAGGAAGAAGAAGCAAAAATAGGTTTCTTTTTGGGGCAAATTTCTTTTCCCGTGGCCTGCTTCATTTATCTATTTTTCCTATCTTATAGCGGGTTGGCTCTAAATAATGAGCTGAACATTATTTATTGCTTTTGCCAGAATATTAGCTCCGGGCTTGCTATGACGTTTGAAAGTGGCCATGAGGGGATACACTTAACAGTCTACCCCCCCCCCCCCCCCATCTTACCTAAGAAGGTAGCTTGTCTCGCCCAGGAGGTGGGAACAGTTGAAAACAAAGTGGCGAACGGGTGAGAGGGCCTTCGATTTTGATTATTTTTCTTGAGGGGGATTCTGTCTGTCAGAAATAACTGTCTGTCTGGTCTGCATTTCTAAAGTGTTCAGTGGACAATTCCTTCTCTTGATATGGAGGTTTTAGGTCTCTGGAAGGGCCTTCGTTCTTTCTGTTAGTTTTCGTTTGTGAATCTTTATCCCATGCATAATTTGTTGGTCAACAACCACAACTCAATAGAATGAATTCTTTAAGACTCCGGACAGAAAGAGAGTCCGGAGGGAATCATTGTTTCTCAATCAATCATGCCTCAACTGGTTCTGGACAGAAATATAGAGAGTTCTTATTTTTTTTTAATTTAGATCCCCATAGCTGCGGTTATTTTATATTCCCTTTTTAGAGGTGGGCGCCCACCCGCGTTGGGTCTACCCGATCCCAATATTGATCTGTCTTTAGCACTTGATGCTTTACATATAGAAATAGAGATTCAACTTGAAACCCTGTTCAAGGAACGCTTTGGGCAGTATTATGTATTGCCTGACGGATTAACCTTCTCTGCCGTTGGTGAACATCTGTACTCAAGGGTTGGAACCTTGGCTGGGTTGCAGGATATTCTCGTTGATCTCCTTTTTCTAAGGGAACTGAGCCCTTTTTTTAAGTTTGCTTTGGATTTTGTTATAGAAAGGGTATAGCTGCTATCAAAAAATGCTTGCATAAAATAAATAAGGTCCATTTTACCACGTAGTTCGTCGGTCAAACCAACGATTCTCTTCTCAAAGTTATAGAGAGATCTTTTTCTAGTTAGACTTCTATCAATGCAATGAAAGAACCATCCCTTCCTATTTCTTTGTCCTGTCAGATAGAAATATAAGAAGACCCAAAAGAGCCCTTCTTTACCACTTTAGGGGGTGGGGGTGAAGGGGGGGTTTACATACAACCGAGGCAAAGTGGTTTATGATTGAATCTCAGAGGCATTCTTATCATTTGGTAGATCCAAGTCCATGGCCTATTTCGGGTTCACTCGGAGCTTTGGCAACCACCGTAGGAGGTGTGATGTACATGCACTCATTTCAAGGGGGTGCAACACTTCTCAGTTTGGGCCTAATATTTATCCTATATACCATGTTTGTATGGTGGCGCGATGTTCTACGTGAATCCACGTTGGAAGGACATCATACCAAAGTCGTACAATTAGGACCTCGATATGGTTCTATTTCGTTCATCGTATCGGAGGTTATGTTCCTTTTTGCTTTTTTTCGGGCTTCTTCTCATTCTTCTTTGGCACCTACGGTAGAGATCGGGGGTATTTGGCCCCCAAAAGGGATTGGGGTTTTAGATCCTCGGGAAATCCCATTTCTTAATACCCCTATTCTCCTTTCATCCGGAGCAGCCGTAACTTGGGCTCATCATGCTATACTCGCGGGGAAGGAAAAACGAGCAGTTTACGCTTTAGTAGCAACCGTTTCACTGGCTCTAGTATTCACTGGCTTTCAAGGAATGGAATATTATCAAGCACCCTTCACTATTTCGGATAGTATTTATGGTTCTACCTTTTTCTTAGCAACTGGCTTTCATGGTTTTCATGTGATTATAGGTACTCTTTTCTTGATCATATGTGGTATTCGCCAATATCTTGGTCAGATGACCAAGGAGCATCACGTTGGCTTTGAAGCAGCTGCATGGTACTGGCATTTTGTAGACGTGGTTCGGTTATTCCCATTTGTCTCTATCTATTGGTGGGGAGGTATATGAAGGAACGAAACAGTGGATTTAGGGATGAAAGCTCGAATACAAAGATAACCGGGCTTTTCCAAAGAATTACTGCAGCTTTCCCAGCTTCGTTATCCTTTGAATTACTCCTAATTTTTCTATTCCTAGTGTCATGAGAAATAAAAACTTTCTATACTCATTCCTTCTCTTAGTCGGTGTCTCCTATTTACTTTGTCTCATCTTGGGTGAGAGTGAAGTTTTTTGGGCCTTGCTCTCAAAGGTGGGATACTCCGGTACGACGCGAGCCATATTTATACCATTTCTCAAATTGACAGGTTGCTCCGGAAGGCTGGCTCTTGTTCTGTTTTTCGCCGTGAAAGCGGTGAATGGAACCCTCTTCAAAGATTTTTTCTCTTGTATGGAAGAAGCTGGGCCGTCTTCGGGCGCATCAAGCTCTAACCCGGGTAATCCCGTTGTACCCCCTATTGATCAAGGTCTACACGGCGAAGTGAAAAAAGATGAAGTTTGGGGGGTGTGGACACACTTGCGCGAATTCGGGGAATTTCCCATCCCTACTCCAAAAGAAAGCACGGTTCTACAGCCGGCGGTGCTGGAAACGCCTCGGGACGGGGGTCCGTTCACAAGGGGGGCCACCCCCCAGGCGTCGCCCCAACAAACCTCCCCCTCCCTTGTGGAAGGGGCCGCAAAATTGGCGACCAATGAGGCGGCCGCCGGGTGCGCCCAAGCCTGTAGCGAGGGGTTGATCCAACGGGCGGCCCATTGTCCCGACTGTTTCTGGGACTGTGTGGCGGGCTCATGCTGTCTATTCTGTTCGTAACTGGTTTATTAACTCAAGGTAGGGCTGGGAGACCTATGTTTTGACACCCTCCGAGAGGAGATTAAAAAACAAATAGAGGGGTTGCTCCAAATATATTTTAATAATGCTCTTGTTCTTCCCCCTGGGAAGATAATTCAAGACATTGCAACCCACCTTCATCACGATTCCGAGTCTTTGGAGCAACTCTTGACCATTTTGAAGAATCTTACTGAATTAGGTCTACAAAGTCAAGAGTTTCAACAAATTCTCCTCTTTCTCTCGCAGTGAAGTCCCGATGGCAAACTATATATAACATTTGAATTTCTCTTACATTCCACGTTTCCGAAACGGATCCTATCAAATATTTTACATTTTCTATGATCATCTCTATTTTAGGTATTCGGGGAATCCTCCTTAATAGACGAAATATTCCTATTATGTCAATGCCAATTGAATCAATGTTATTAGCTGTTAATTCGAACTTTTTGGTATTTTCCGTTTCTTCGGATGATATGATGGGTCAATCATTTGCTTCATTGGTTTCAACGGTGGCAGCTGCGGAATCAGCTATTGGGTTAGCCATTTTCGTTATAACTTTCCGAGTCCGAGGGACTATTGCTGTAGAATTTATTAATAGCATTCAAGGTTAAACATGACTCCTAGAGAATTACCAAAATACGAAGTTATCTTTTCTCCTTTCGTTCTCTTCTTTATTTATTTTTTATTTTTACTTGGTTGGCAGGGCAGGGTCGGGGCCTTTATCGCTGGGCGAGCGCATCCGATTTATTCTAAAGTCCTTTCCTAAACCACTTCCCGTTTAGTTGCTGAAAGATAGATAGAACCTTTCTAAATGAGATTGAGTTCCACGCATATGCAAGCTAGAAAGATGCTATTTGCTGCTATTCCATCTATTTGTGCATTAAGTTCGAATAAGATATCAATCTATAATGAAGAAATGATAGTAGCTCGTTGTTTTATAGGCTTCATCATATTCAGTCGGAAGAGTTTAGGTAATACTTTCAAAGTAACTCTCGACGGGAGAATCCAGGCTATTCAGGAAGAATCGCAGCAATTCCCCAATCCTAACGAAGTAGTTCCTCCGGAATCTAATGAACAACAACGATTACTTAGGATCAGTTTGCGAATTTGTGGCACCGTAGTAGAATCATTACCAATGGCACGCTGTGCGCCTAAGTGCGAAAAGACAGTGCAAGCTTTGTTATGCCGAAACCTAAATGTTAAGTCAGCAACACTTCCAAATGCCACTTCTTCCCGTCGCATCCGTCTTCAGGACGATCTAGGCACAAAGTTTAACTTATTAGTTAGGAGGAGATTTATCTCCCAGTGTATCTCGAAAGCAGAAAAAATAGAACTCATTCGAGAGAGCTTGGTGGTCTTAAGAATGGTTCGGGTGGGGGGTTCTCTTAAGAATAAATAAGACGAATATAATCTAATTCATGTTTATGCTAACAGAAGAGAGGATCCAATACAAAGACAACTTTTTTCTCATGAAGCAGCTTTGCAAGAAAGGAGTTAGTTCCCTCCGGGGGTTCTGATAGCCAATGCTTCCTACGCTCCAGCCCTTAGCCCTGAACTCCTTAGCACAAGCACTAAGTAAGCCCGTGAAGGAAAGGCCTTCAATATCGCACCTACTAGGACTTCAATTTAGTTTTCGAATAGGACTACTTCTTTCTTTTCTGTACGCTAGGGCCGCCCGCACGCTTTAAGGGTTGTTGAACGTATTGCACTAAGAAAGACTCCTGCCGTTGCGGTCATATTTTATTTGAAAGCCGCTCAAGCAATTTCTTTAAAGAAGAGCAAGCAAGACAAGATAAGGCTCGAAAGCTGCGAATAAAGTCGAGCTGCTCTAATCGAGCTGTGAAATCAGTGTGGTGAGGTATTGGAAGTGTTCAGCGAATATAGATAAAGAAACTCAAAAAGAGCACCGTGCTATACTGGCAGAGCTTCAGCAAAACTAGGTAGGTAGCTTTCGCTAATGAGAGATGGATTTGGGGATTATATTAGGTCTCCTAATTAATGGAATTAGTTTTATCTTGATTAGTTTATTTTTAAAGAAGCATTCTCCCTTTACTCGATCTTTAATTGAATTATCGATAGAACGTTGATCAATATTAAGGAAGAGATCGAGGATCACAGCAGGATCCTCTCTGATCTTTGTCAACACAGACTCGAAGCCCCCTGCTCAAACAAAAGGGTAATCCTTCGGAATTTTCAATTCCTTTCGGATTTCTTATATTAATTATAGTTGAGGGGAGAAGACTCATTGAAAATTCTATCTATATAGGGGGGGGAGCCATTGTGAAGCCTAGAGAGGCGGAAGCGGCAAATCGCTTCTACCGAGTTCCACAACACTTAGCTTAGTAGCTTAACTCTTTCTACTGGCGTGGCGCTGCTGGATGCTTCTGATCAATAGAACAGGAAGAGGAGGAAAAAAAAGCTTATGATGAGCATCTATTTGAGTCGATCATTTCCAAGATGTAATTCAAGTTTATTCTTATGTAGTGGAAAGGCCTTACAATCTGAAGTTTTACGCTTAGGGGAAGAAATGTTCTTGGTGGATGCAGGACCTGGGACCCCCAGAAATTGTATGCAAGATGAGCCTACAGGAGTGCCAATCAACCGAGCCACCAGGTTTGATAATAAGGTGGGATTCCTGGATCTAGTGGCCGGTGAATCACTGATCAAAAAGAAGATTTTGGAGAGATTATTCATCGATCTAGTGGCCGGCGAATCACTGATCAAAGAGCGAGCAGCCGCCAGGTTTAATGATTTGGTGGGATCCACAGATGTAGTGGCCGGTGAACCGCTTCTTCTTCTTCCACGAAGATTCAGAC